CTCTCTCTCTCTCTCTCTCTCTCTCTCTCTCTCTCTCTCTCTCTCTCTCTCTCTCTCTCGGTCTTCTTCTTCGTCATGGTTCTCTTGCAGGTGCACGGCGGCTTCTTCCACCTCAGGTTCGCTATGGCGGACTACTACCTTCGGCGGCCACCTCTGCTATGGCGCATCAGGTCCTGCGTACGACGGCGCGCATGGAATAGCGGGTACCAGCTCCGACAATCAGACTCGTTCTTATTCACACTTTTCATGCATGTAAACAGCAACGCAGCAAACTGGCGACATGCGCCCACACAAAACTCAGAGATATGGCTTCCAGATACAAGTTCACTCTCAACTGGCTATGGCGACTTCACCGCCCAAACAACTCGCTGTTTACACACACCGGATCACCCTGGATATCCCATACACGTCACTCTGAACACTCAAACACACACACACACTTCTACTAACTACAGCCTATGGCAGCTATCGCTGCCTCTAACCTATCGCTATACCAACTCCTCCTCTGTTGCCCACTGCGTCGTCCGGGCTCATCTGCAGACCTCCTTGCACAAGTCACTGTGGCAGCGCTTCCGCATGGCTCACACAGGAATGAATGAATGGCTGGGCGCTGCCTCTTGATTTATACTTCAGAAACTCGTTGGTCTGCCCTTTGCCATCGGCCCATGGTGCTCACAGTCCCCCCGTGGTACTGGCTGGACCGGACTGGGACTGACTGGACCTTTCGCTGACTGACTGTGGACTCACCCCTATCCTACCGACGTCGTACTGCTATTGCACTGCAGTTTAGTCCACCACTTGCCTCGCCACTTGCCCACTTGCCCACTTGCTTACCTTCTAGAAGGTCCACAGCTAAGCTTCCGGAACTTCACTAAGGCTTCTACGCTATAGACCTACAGATCGAACCCCTGCTGCCTATGGACCTACGACAGACCTACCAACTGTCTGCGAATACACAGGTCACAGGTTCAACTCTCGGGGTCTACACAGATACTGTACACGGGTAGGGTGTGGTCTAGGGATAGAACCCTGGGTGCTGCATCCGCTACTGCTAAAATGTGAAAACCGTTTCAAAATTTTGCATCTGCATTTTTTTAAAACACCTCATACCCCTGCAAAAAACAGCAATTCTTTTCTTAAAAAATACAGGTGAACTCAGGGACCATATATCTCATGATAAAAAATGACCAAAAAAAAATCCAGCTTTTCTTTGTACATATATTTTTAATTTTCTTTAAATCGAATTTAGTTTTTTATTTTTTAAAAATCCTAAACAAAGTCGGATTCCAAAAAAAAAAATATGGGGTTGTAGGGCTTAAAATTCCCTACAACCCCATATATATATACTCCGACGAAACAGTTTGTCACAGCCCCTCGTTTGTTGTCCTCTTCTCTCTCTGCCTACGGTTTACCGGGCAGTTCTATTTGTGATGATATATATATATATATATATTTTAAACCTATTATTTAATTCAGGAAAATTCTGGTAAAATCGGGTCCGCGGCGCGGACCAGGTCGGCCTTGGACGCGGCCCCATCTGCGTCCGCCATCCGAGATCGGACCCGCGGACGCGTCCGCGGGTGTTTCATAGAGGAGAGAGAAAGAGACATTGCATTTCCAAGCAGCACTGTTTCTTTTTTTTTTCTTTTTTTTTTTTTTTGTCTTTGTTTTTGAACACGCCCCACCAGTGCTACTGGTGCTGATAAGAGAAGACACCACTAGCACCTGGGAGAGGCTCCATCTATTGGTGGGGAGCATCACCTGCTGGAAAACGGGTCCAGTGTCCCATTTACAGTCTGAAATTAGAGTATATCGGTGAAAAATGCGGGAAATTCCTGCCAGCATTGATTACCCCGGGATCCAGGGGATTGACTGAGCAGGGTATTGGAAAGGGGGGGGAACCTCTTCACCCTGGACCTGGCACCGGATACCTGCAGGCTGCTGCTACACACTGATTCCTCCCTCCCCCTACCTTTTGTGAGCTACACATCTTTATCGATACTGCAGTCCTTTTTTGCTCTTTCCTTACTCTTGCCCAAATCATTGCCTTTCTACAATTGTTGTGGCCGGCAGGGGGAACATATCAGGAAATTCCCCTGGAATCTTCATCGGCCCAAGACTGTCGGCAGCAAATGTACAGAAAAAAGGGAGGTGAAACGGATCTCCGGAGGAGCCCGAGGAGACTGCAAAACAGAAACCAGACCCCGAAAGTATGCACAATGAGCCAGAATTTAAACCATTTCACCGCTTTCGAAGAAAAGGCCCGACACTGAACCTTCAGTGTCAACTCTGCAGCGATCGTCTGTTTGATGGCGTAGTTCACCCCCGCCCAAACCATATACGAGGTGAAACGCCCCCCATTAGGAACACTGTCAGCCGATTTTTACCCTACTACGCGGGGTGACAGATGAATTTTGCAAAGAGTCCACAGAGTGGCTCCCCGCAGTGCTTCCTCTGCATATTAAGCGGATGAGGGCAACCCATGCCCTCGACAGGTTGCCGACCAGCGCCGACCAGCACAAACTCATCCGGCGCCCAGCCGACAGCCGGATAGGCACAGGAGAAGCGGCCCGTCACCAATCCCAAAATGGGCGGGCGAGATTGCAAAAGAGACAGAACTGCTGCAGGTCTTCGATCAGCATCCCCGGGCACATCCGGCACAAGGGGGTAACCTTAGGTGTCCTCCTAGCACGCCATGAACGAAGCCACAGGCAGCACCTGCTGAGCCACAAGCCACATCAAGCCCCCATGCTTGACAAGCGGCAAATCCATGAGCAACTTCCAATACTGGGCAAAAGGTTGCACCAACAGAGCCAAACTATCCACCACCGAACAGTCCCAACCTGAAGCCATCCATCGTTTAGCCAACCCCCAAGACACGTCAAAATCCTACTGGGGTATTAAAGCAATTTCCCAGTTTGGTAGTGTAAACAAAACGAGGGAGGTAGGTAGCTCGGAGTAGTCGTAGGTAGGTCCTAGGTAGTGAAAGATGAAAGAATTTGACAGAACAATATGGTGTAGATTCGTGTAGAATTTGAGAGAAGAAAATAAGTGTAGATTTTCAATAATGATAATAAAATAAAATAAAGAATAATAATAAGAAAATAATAAATTAATAATAATAATAATAAATAATAATAATAATAAAAAATAACAACAAGAATAAAAATCAAAATCCATCCTCTTGCAATTACCCATACCTTATGCAGTCAGGAAGGCTGACCTTTTTCTTGAGGGGGGAAGGGGGGGATTTTTTTCTTTTTTTTTTTGAAGGGAGGCTGATTGTCATCTTGTTGCTGACGTGGACTTGTCACAGCCAACGGAGACTAGGACAAAGGAGTTGAAAAGAAGGACAAAAATTCCCAAGGATAGTGACTACCGCTAAATTTGAGGGACCTTAAGATGGGGAGGCACTACCCATTTTCAATTTTGAGGCTGAGTGATGCCGTTCTTCACCTACTTCACACTCCTGTCGGAAAGGTATTCACTTTTTCTATAACTCTATAATAAAAAGCCTGAGCCTCAGGGGCAACCACACTTAGTCTACTAGTGCATTTTTTCCAACCAAAAAGAAAAAGAGAAAGGAAAAAAAACAAGAAGTTGAATCTTTGAACTCAGTACACTCAGCAAAGTTCAAGACTTCAATTAAAA